TGAGATGGCAGTGAGAGTCGGGAAAGAAGGACAGGTGGGCACAGGAAATACAGGGAGGAAGTAAGGTCCGTGCCCCTCAGCACCGGGAGGTGCTGCAAAAATGAGCTGCCTCGGAATGTGTATGAATGTAAAATTATAATCTGTAAACCTTCACCTCACAGCAAAACATCTAAAAGAAGACATGGAAATATCCACCTTCCTCTTGAAAACCACTGGGATCAACTGTGACCAGGGTAGCTGCCAGAAAAGCTTGGAAATACACCGGAGAAATCAACATGATGAATGCTCTGCCTCCCTCCCCGGCCCCCATTACCTCCAAAGTCTAAACTGTGCAGTGATGACAAGAGCAGAGGACAGAGAGGGAAAGGAACTTGGCTTTTCTCCAGCGCAAGCCACATCTGTTTAAACAGTCCGCAGATAGAGGGGGAAATCCGATCTCCTGCGGCTGGTCAGACAACACAGACACATGCCATCGCCTATGGAATGGCAGCATTCCCCAGCCGCCTTGGAGAAGTTCCCAGAGGAAAATACACCCACACATAGATTCCCTAAGAGGGTGGTAGAGGAAAGGGGAGGTTTTTCCCTAACACCTAGGTCTTCCTGAATTTAATATCTCTACTTTAATATATTAATAAATGAACTAAGTATGTTTTAACTTTTCAATAAAGTAGAGTGGAAAATTACAGAACTCAATTCCAACCTTAAAAATCCGCTTTGGGCCGGCCCCAGTCCCAACTATGTGAACACGTCCCCCCAGAAGAATTCACTTCAGAGGACAGCACTGAAGCTAAGCGCAGGAAGAGGAGCCCGTCTGATCAGAGCGCACAGGAGCAAACAAAGAGGGAAGGAGAGAGTGGAACACATCCTGGCCCACCAAGCCCTGAGGATGATATTCCTGCTCAGAGTAGACAAGGCACAGAGAAGACCATAGAGCCAGCCCCACCACCAGACATGATGTCCCTCACTGACCCATAGCGCTACAAGGGACAGCAATGGAGGCACAGTTGAGGAATTGTGCTCAATCTGACTGCACCACACCAGGGCGAAACACTAAGGGCTTGCAATAGAACAGCAAGGGGAGCCAAGCAATGAAGTCCCCGCGGAATACGAAAAATAGACTTTGGGGCTAGGGTGTGGCACCCCATCAGACTGGGTTAGAAAACACTCCTAAAGGTCAAAAGATCTGGAACTATTTATAAGCTTTTCTTTTTCTTTCTTTTTTTTTGTCATTGTTGTTTGGTTTTTTTTTGGTTGTTGTTGATCTTGTTTTAGTGCTTATTGTCTCTGCGTGTCTATCAAGATAAGATAGGCAGGATAAACAATCGAGAGGAGGAAACAATGGGACCGAAGGTTTGGGAGGACACAGGAGAGGGGGTGGGGGGGCAGGGAGAAAGGAAGTGGGTGCTAACAAACCCAGGGACAAGGGAACAACAAGTGATGTAAAATCAATGGCAAGGAGGGCATAGGATGCCTGATAGAGCTTAATCAAGGGCAGCATAACTGAGAGGAATTACTGAAACCCAAATGAAGGTCGAACATAGTGGGACAAGAGAAAAGTAAAAGGAGATAGAGGAAATAACTAGAAGGCAAAGGGCATTTATAGAGGTCTAAATACAGGCATGTATATATGTATATATATTTTTATATAACAATAGGGAAACAGATCTATGTGCATATATTTATATGTTAAATATTAAGGTAGCAGACGGACATTGGGCCTCGACTCAAGTACTCCCTCAACACAAGAACACTTTGTTCTAATAACCTGGCGTTCTGTGATGCTCACCTTCCCGACAAGCTCGCTAAAGACAACGTGGATGCATAAGCAAATGTGGTGAAGAAAACTGATGGTGCTCAGCTATCAAAAGATATAGCATCTGGGGTCTGAAACGCTGGAAGATAAACAAGCACCCATCTAGCTGAGAAGCAACCAAGTCCACATAATAGAACCACATCAGCCTGTGTGAGCATGAGGTGTCAATAAGATCAGGTATCAGGAATCAAAGAGCCAAAACAAAACAAAAAAAGCATACCCATGAGATAAGGGGGGACACGGAGTGGAGACCCAAAGCCCATCTGTAGACGATGGGACATCCACTTACAGAGGGGTCACAAGGAAGAGACCAGCCAGTCAGTATAGCAACGATGAAACATACAACTTTCCTCTAGTCCTTGAATGCTTCCTGTCCCCCACTATCGTGACCCCAATTCTACCTTACAAATCTGGCTTGACCAAAGCCTGTACACGGGTACAGAGAGCTGGAAACACAGGGAATTCAGGACAGATAAACCCTCAGGACCAATAATGAGAGTAGCAATACCAGGAGTGGAAGGGGAAGGTGGGAGGAGAAAGGGGTAACTGATCACAATGGTCTACCTATAACCCCCTCCCAGGGTGATGGACAACAGAAAAGCGGGTGAAGGGAGACATCAGTCAGTGTAAGACATGAAAAAATAATAATAGTTTATAAATTATCAAGGGTTCAGGAGGGAGGGAGGGTGGCAGAGGGAGGGAAGAAAAAAATGAGGAGCTGATACCAAGGGCTCAGGTAGAAAGGAAATGTTTTGAAAATTATGTACAAATGTGCTTGAAACTATGGATGCCTGTGTGGATTGTGATAAGAGCTGTACGAGCCCCCAATAAAATGATGAAAAAAATAAGAAATGTAAAATCTAATACATTTGTGATAATGATGATCACTTTGTAATGACATTTATATGTCTGATAGCTACCCTGCCATGCTAATTGATTAAGTGATTCAAATGATATGGAATATGTGTTTTGATTTTCTACTGTAATTTGTATGTGTAAACTCTAAATCTTAAAAATATATACCTAAACAGGAGCAATTATTTACTTATATTTTATATGAGAATGGATATTCTGTGAATTATTTCTAAACAGGATGGGTGCTCTTTTTGATTTCTCTTGTGGTTCTTAGTCTAACTTCACTTCATCCATGTCCATCTACTTCAATTATTCTGCATTGTAGCCCTCCGTTATTTTTGCATGCTGTATGCTAACTAATAATTTTTTAATCTAAAAATTGAAGCAGAGTTTAAAACATCCATGCCAATGCAAAGTTACTTAATAACCTTATTAAACTCTACCTTGGCATGACAAAAACTAAATCCACTTCACTTAATTTTAACTTAATAGAAGTGTCATGAACTTGGGATAAAGGTGAGAGGCTTGCAAAAGTTTATGGGCCAATACAATGGAAAGTTCATGCAAGGCATTATTCCAACATTTGGCCTGTGAGTCAGAAACAACTGTACGTTGAGTGTCTGAGACTAACTTTTTATAGGAACAGACTACCTCTCATCTAATGCTGAAATCGAACCCTGCAGACTCCCAATTTTTCTGTTTGAATGGGAAAAATACCTTTACTGAGCGTGTAAGAGACTTTCAAATCATAGCATACCTATTAAAGTTTTCAGTACAAAAAGATACACAGAATCGAAAACATCTTCATGTGTTGGACGGGTCTGAGTTCTTTGGCGATGAAACACCCTAACACTCGGGCATTCATTTCATATATAATATAAATGGAAGGCAACTTTGTTTCCGACTGTGTAGCCTTCTCGTTCCTCTCACTGCTGAAGAATCCATCCATAGCCATTCAAGGACAGAACTGAACGGCCCCTGTGTGGCTCTGTGGCTGAAACTCTACTGGAGTGGAGAGGCTGATGGTATCAAACTGCTGACTTCCGTTAAACATAATGTAGCTAATTCAGGTGACTGGGTCTGAAAGATAACATTCATACTGATGTCAATACATGTGCAATTTAGAAAGGGAACCCAACATTTGACAGAGGCTTCGCTAAAAAAGAAAAGAAAGAAATCAAAAGCTAATTATCAAGAAATTTCACTCAAAAACGCATTGGCATCAAGTTAATGCTGACTCATAGCTCACCTCCCCCGCCCCAAGTGGGTTTCCAAGACTAACTATTTATAGGAGTAGAAAACCCAGTCTGTCTTCCCAAGAGCTGCTGGTGGTTCCGAAGTGCTGACCCTTCCGATCCCAGCCCTACACATAACCACTCTGCCACTGGGGCACCTCAGTCTTTTGGCTAAGATCAAGTATAGTATCCTAGAGGTGAAATATCTAAATAGTTTCCAGGGGAAATGAATAACAATAGGCAATTCAAGAATTGTCCTGGAGCTATGTCCATGTTTAGAAGCTAGAAAATTACAAAGTAGGCCAATACTGTGACAATACTTCCAGAAACACCCTCTCCCCTCTGCGCCTCACCTGGGAGACTTAGTGTGGAGAGGAAGCGCCTAGGTTCTAAGTCTTTGGATAAACGAGGCCTGTCCTGCCAGACTCAGGCTCAACCCGGCCTTTCTTCCTAGCCTGTCTTAGTCTGGAAGTGCCGCTGAACCCTGTTCAACATGCAAGCCCCCACCGTGTGGTGCACGGAGGTGTACTAGTAGAAATTTAATTCCACTCTCCCATTTTCTGGTCCCCAGCTGCAGGCATCCTACCTCCCCATGATGGTTCCTTGGTGAATACAAACCAACGATTACCTGTTCTGTGTTCCTGAGCGTTGCCTGAACCCAAGCGCTTACTGAAGAGGCAGGAGTCCGGGGTGCTGAAGACAAATGCCTTCTGAAACCCCAAATGGATGTTGATCCTTCAAAATCCACACCAGACAGGCTGATGTCGTTCAATTAAACAGAGGGTCTCCTCTTAAACCGACTCAATGGTCTCGTTTATGCTAGGTGACAATGGTGCTCCACAGGAGAGCCAGTGGCTGACGTTTCTGAAGGAAACGCCAGCCCTTTCTTGCACGGTGCCCTGGGTGAATTGGAAACCCCACCCTTTTGGTTAGCGGCCAGTTGTGTGACGGTTGTCTTCGCTCGGTTACAACCCCACTTCTGTTTGCCATTTCCCCGCTTTGAGTTTTTGCCGTCTGTTTTCAAGCTCTGGGGCCTAACACGAGGCACTCCTTGTCCACCCAACCCCCGGCCAGCTGGTGTCCGGGCCTCCACTTGCCTGATGAGTATGCAGAGCACCAAGAGGGAGAGGGTGAAGGCCTTCTTCAGGAAGGGCCCGTTCTTCTTCTGCCTCTGATGCATCTCTCCGCCACAGTGGTCACAGCAGCGGCACAGACAGAAGCAGCAGCCCACCAGAGGCATCAGCACCACAAAGAGCAGTCCCAGGCAGGCACAGATGATGAGCCCGATCTCGTAGTGGACCACCTGCAACGCAGAGACAGCAGCTCGCCATCACACAAAGCAGACAGAACTTTCCCCAGAGCACCTGGTGTTTTCTTCATTCAACACCTACTTGCCACCTTCAGTTGAATCTGTGTGTGTGTGTGTGTGTGTTGTTGTTGTTGTTGCTGGAGACCATTAGGTTGGCTCAAGGGTGGCCTGCACCACAGAACAAAACCAAAGCCAAACCTAGTTTGGGGCCACTGCTTTCACAGGCGGATTTGTGCGAGTAGGTTGCCAGGCCTTGCTTCCGAGTTTGTCTTGGTGGATAAGCTCTATTGAAACCTGTTCAGCATCACAGCAACTCACAAGTCACCGTGATGCACGGGGAAGAAAGGCCTGGCAAACTACCTGCAAAAACCAGCCAACGAGAACCCCATGGATCAGGCCCGTCCCAGCATGAAACCCACTCCTCCACCAGGGCCCTAACTCAAGCCTGCTGCCATCGAGGAGATGCCAACTCATGGCGACCCTCTGGGACAGAGGAGAGCCACTGCTGTGGGCTGAGCAGGCTGCACAGCTTTACGGGAGCAGACAGCCTCCCACTTCTCCCTCAAAACTGCTGGAGGTGTCGAACTACTGCCCTGACGGTGAGCAGCCCAAAGCATAACCCACTACCGAAGCCCCTTAGGCTGTGTCGCAGGAGGGAACAAAAACCAAAGGCATTCCAGTTCCTTAAAGGAAGGCACTTTGTAAGACGGTACACACTCTCAGGGTGGCGGTTTGCAGGGTGGGAGACAGCACAGGATTCTGAAGGCCAGCGGAGCAGAGCAAAGGCGGAGTGCTGCTTGGCTGTCGGGCAAGGAAGCACGGGAACTGGGGCAGGGGTCCTGCTTCCAATGCCCAGCAGGTAGCTTCATGCTCCATTAGCCCAGGCCCTGCAAGGAGACCGTGAAGGGCGAAGAACGAAATGATCAGGTGTGCAGTAAGTAGCCAGTCGGGGGCTGGCCCCAAGCCAAACTCCCTGCCATCGAGTGGATTCCGACGGACAGAGACCCTTTAGGACAGGGCGGGTCTGTCCCTGTGGGTTTCTGAGACTATAAGGCTCTGTAGAGAGCCCTGTCTTCCTCCCCTCGAGCAGCCCAACTTATAACCCAGTACGCTACGTTTGGTCAAGATTTAACAAGTATCTCTTAACTCTAGGGGGAAACCCTTAAGACTATTAAGTCAAGGGCGGGTGGCACTTGGAAACGATCGACTTCACAACTAAGGTTCACGTGTCAAGTAAAGAAAATGTGGCTGGGTTTAACTGTCTCAATTTACAAGCGCTCTTTTTAAACCAGAGGTGGGCGACTGCTGGCCCGAGGGCTGTCTAAGGCCCGGGAAATCAATACCACTAACATCGCACACCTCACCAGAGAGCAGCAGTTCCAACCATCCACTGTTGTTAGGTGCCATCTAGGCAGTTCTGACCCATAAAAACTCCGTGCACAACAGAACAAAATACCACATGGTCCTGCACTGTCTCCACAACTGTTTCTAAGCCTGAGCCCATTGTTGCCACCACGGTGTCGGTCTACCTCGTTAAGGGTCTTCCTCTCTCTCGTTCCCCCTCTACTTTACCCAACACGATCTCCAGGGACTGGTCTCTCCTGACAACATGTCCACAGAATGCACGACAACGTCTCCCCATGCTTGCCTCTAAAGAAACACTCTGGCTGTGTGTAGCTTCAAGACAGATTTGTTTCATCTTTTGCAGGCCGGGGCACATTAGAGGTGAGTTCATTAAAAGTCTGGCCACCAAATGCTGCAGGCTAATTTTTAAGTTGATCATTTTGTATGGCCTGAGAATGCCCCACCCCTGTTTTACAGAGCCATTATCAATAGGCTCTTTTAACAGTCCCGGGGGCTAACCTCGTCGAATAATTCAGAAACCAGTCCAGCTGTTCCAAACTCTCACCAATACATGGAGCTGTTTCTGGGCAAATATTCCAAATGATTTACTCTGTTTAAAGCAGTGGTTCTTAGCCTTCCTAACGCCATGACCTTTTAATACAGTTCCTCATGTTGTGGTGATCCCCCAACCATAAAATCATATCCATTGCTACTTCATCACTGTCCTTTTGCTACTGTTATGAATCAGGCGACCCATGTGAAAGGGTCATTCGACCCCCAAAGGGGTTGCGACCCACAGGTTGAGAACCGCTGGTTTAAAGGAATCTTAAATATTTTTCTAAATCCCAGGAGGCCCTGAGCCCAAATTCAAGAAAGAAAACCAAAAATCAAAACCAAACTCACTGCCATTGAGTTAATTCTGACTCAGAAGGACCCTGTAGGACAGGATAGAACTGCCCCTGTGGGTTTCTAATATATTAAATCTTTACAGGAGCAGACAGCCTCATTTTTCTCCTGTGGATCGGCTGTGGGGTTCAAACTGCTGACCTTCTGGGAACCCACTCCGTCACCAGGCCTCCCTCTTTCAGGAGAGAAAAGCAAACTCACTGCCATCGAGTCCCATTGTGACTCATAGCCACCCTCTAAGTCAGGGTAGAACTCACTGCCCCTGGGGGGTGCCGAGGCTGTAACTCGTTACAGAAGTAGAACGCCTCGTCTTTCTCCTTCAGAGAAGCTGTAGGTTTAGAACTGCTGACCTTGCGGTTAGCAGCCCCATGAGTAACCCACAAACAACGTTTTCCATCAGGAACCAGTTCATGCCAGTTCAACCGCCTCCCTTGAGGAGCCTGCCTTTCCACCCTAGATCTACTGAATGGGGATTTTTTCAAACAAGGTCTACAAGAAGCCCGCTTTCAAATGTACTCGCTTTAGTGCCAAATCTGAATCTCTTGATTCACGTAACTTTTAAAGAGCCTTCCCCGTGTTGATGCTGCGGGTCAGGGAGTCCATTGCAACTCACGGCTGACCCAGAGGGCTTTCGCCAGATCGGTCTCTCATGGATCCACTTGGTGGGTTTGGAACCGCCAGCCCAACGTGACTGACCAGACAGTATCAGGAACAAGAGATGGTATTTCAAGCGTTTGCTTCTAGGCTGCAGTCTAGCCAGGGTGGGCCGGCACATCTGGTGCCCCCAGGAATCTTGGGAGAGCTGTGCAAGTGGTGCAGAAGGCAAGGGCAAGCGAGACCTGCGTGGACAGAAGCGGGGCCCAGCTCCCTGGTCAACGACAACACTCAAAGAGCAGACCGCAGATGACAGCAGGGGGGACAGGAAGCACTGCTTTAAAAGCCACCACAGTGAAGACCCAGGCAAGCTCTGGCCAAAGCGTCCCTCTTCTAGGTGCAGGCAAAGCAGGACAGGGCTTTACCTTCAGAGTCAAGACCACGTCCTCTGGCTGTGAGGTCCAAACAGAGGCAGCATGCACGAGGAAAACACAGAACAAGCCTTGGGCACGATCATCGCAACAGGGAAAATCGAGGGACAGAGTTGGTAGCAGAGACACAAAGTGGGGCCACAAGAGCCTGAAACCAGGGAGCTGGTTGGGGAAAGGGCGTGCTGGGTCAAGTCAAGGTCTGGAAGGTACTTGGGAATTTCTCTGGAGCTTCTCCGTGCACCCACCTAGTGGAATCAGGAGCCATCAGAAGGGAAGTTACGTGGCTTCATGGAGCTGAGAAACAGAGGTGGCAAGCACCGCCATGCCGATATCATTCCACTGCCCACGGGGGTCGTCGGATTCCCAGGGTTCCACATCACAACTGAACGTGGCCCCATGGGAACTAGCCCCCTGCCTCAGGGGCCCAGCCTCACCCTGACACTGTGAGCAGTGAGGGGGGCCACTCTGGAAGGCACTGGTCTTACGCAGTGGATGCGCTTGGCCAATCCACCCATCACCACCACCACTCCCATCCTCCATCCCCTCCTCCCCCATGTCTTGCATGTCCACCCCCCCATCCTCGTCCCTCATTGTCCTCCCCTCCTCCCCAATTCGTCCTCCCTGTCCCTGGCCCAGCCCTGCTCGCCAACCGGCCACACTTCCTCCCCACTTAGAACATCATTCCTGTCCGTCACCCTCTGTCTGACTAAACCCAACAGCCAGTCAGCCAGAAGGCTGGGCCAGCCCCACTGGAGGGTAGGGGATAGAGGGTGGTGGTGCTGGTGACAAAGACGATGCAAAGAGCATGCCACAACTGGAGCTGCTCAGTCTGTACGATGGCCCTTCTCTAGGGACTCGAGCGGGACAGCGTGTGTGCAATGTGCGCGTTGTGGTTTGATAGCCTTCCCAATGAAAACCCAACCCACTACCACCAAGTCCATGCCAGCGCCAGAGGGCCTTACCAAGGGTGCCGAGGCGTGAATCGCTGTGGAGCGGGCAGCCTTGTCTTTCTCCCTCGGAGCGGCTGGAGGTTTCAAACTGCTGTCCTTGCGGTTAGAAGCCCACCTCATAACCCCTGTGCCCCCAGGGCTCATCATTTAATACCCTTGGGTGGTTCTGTATCACTACCCAGATGGCTCATTTTAATTTCTGGGAAATGTCTAGGCATCCCAAAGTGTGATGGGAATGACTCTTTAATGACATCGTCAGATTATGGCCGGGCAGGGCGGGCAGTTCGGATACAGGTGCTCCCAGGCTCCTGCCTGTCCTGAGTGGAGGTCCCAGAGGCTGCTCAGACTCACGGCAACCCCGCCCAGCTCTGTGCCACCACCGTCTGCTAAGGACCAGACTGCTGGGACTCCCAGGGTGCACTGGCCAGTTTTCCAAAGTAGGCTGCCAGGCCTTTCCTCCTGGTGTGTCTTGGTCTGGAAGCTGCACTGAACCCCGCTCAGCACCGGAGCAGCAGGCAAGCAGCCTCCACTGATAGGTCATGGCTGCACATGAAGTACCCTGACTGGGCATCGAACCCAGGCCCCCAGTACAGAAGATGAGACGTCTACCATGGGCCCAAGTTCCTAAACTCACCCAAGAGGAGAGTTAAGCACACTGGTTTCTGGTTAAACACATGCTCTCCTTATGAGTGTGCAGTGGGGCCAGAACCCGCCTTTATTTTTTAAATCATTTTATTGGGAGTTCTCACAGCTCCTATAACATTCCATACTGCAATTGTACCAAGTATATTTGTACATATGTCACCGTCATCATTTCCAAAATATTTTCTACTTGAGCCCATGGTATCAGCTCCTCTTTTTTCCCCTCCCTCCCCCACGCTCCCACCCTCGTGAATCCTTTATCAATTATATATTGTTATTATTTCGTATCTTACACTATCTGTTATCTGTTGTCTCCCTTCATCCACATTTCTGTTATTCATCCCCCTTAGGGGGGACTATATATCCAACCATGCTCTTATTCCAGAAGAGGGTACATTTCCTGAGAATGTGGGCACTATGTCAGGTGTCAGGCAGAGTGAAAGGCATCCACCTCGCAGACTTCTCCATAAATGCTGACTTCCAGAGTTATGCGAGAGACTTACTGCTATCGCTTTGGGATACTATCTATTGGGTATTTCCAACTTCTTGCTCCCCAAAAGTTCCAAGTCAGGTGGGTGGGTGGGTGGATGGATGGATGGATGGA